TGCAACTACTTACTTCTCTCAAGGGAGCACGAAAGCAGCGAAAGATAATACACACACACACACACACATGCACAGGTGCAGCTGTGTTCCAATGAAACTTTGCTACAAATTGGTGGCCCGCATGGTGTGCTACCCTATTTGGGATGTGCTACCATCCAGCATTATCTAACAGCAATCTTCATCCAACTAAAAGATGTATTATAAATAATGATATAAAAATGTCACTAAAACATCTAAGATTCAACAACTCTCACAGGGATGTTTAATACGCTATCTTGTGCACAATGAAAATTCCTTTAGTACAAAGATTAAATGATCACAGGGAAAATGCATAGGGAAATAACTAAGTTTGTGCAGCATTCTGATTTGTATACTGTTGCTTAGTATATAATATGTTCTCATAAATGTGAATTCTTGCTTTTGTATGGCTTGATTGAAACACTGTAGATATCAAGGCCATTTTCCTATCTTAATGCGAGCACAAATAACATCAGCTAGTATTTGCTAGAATTGTATGTGTTGTCTTTCAGCAGTTGCAAGGCACAGCTGAATAATTTAACTGACTTCCTAGGAACACTTAAAATATTTTTTTTTTTTTTGCTATACAAATGATGCTACATAAACTAAATGTTTATACATTTGTACCATTACTCATCAGTATCTTCACAAAAAGAAATTTTTAGACACAAAATTTCTTGGTTTAAGGGCTATGCACATTTAATTTTTTTAGTACATGCTTGCAATATATAATGCCTACATTCTTTGTATGAATACATGTTGAAAACTGTTCTCCAGAGAAATTCCACCACTTTGAATTTTTGTTCATAATATATGTCTTTCCTTACAGCCCCTCTAAAAGTAGTATAAATCTTTAAAAAGGTCACTCATGGGGCCAGGGATATAGCTTAGCAGCACTGTGCCTGCCTGGCAAGCACAAGGTCTAGAGTTGAGTCTCTTTTTTTTTTGGTGCCAGGGATCAAACTCATGACCTTGCGTTTGCCAAGCAGGCACTTACATCGCTGAGCTAAACCCCTAGCCCCAAGAGTTTGATTCTTGGTACCAAAAAATAAAAATTTAAAAAAAGTCATTTGTTAAATAAAAACATTTCATTTTTACTATCTAACTCCAATTACTAGTGAGGCAGATCATTTCATGTTTCTTTTTATATTAACAGGGATAATTTGTTTTTTAGAAAACTGAACTGGAAAGCATGGAGTCCCACATACCCAGTTCCCGTCATCCGCATCCTGCAGTGGTGTGGTCCCTTTGTTACACTGATGAACCATTGTCAATACATTACTGCTAATCTAAGTCCACATTAGGATTTACTGTGTTGTAGTCTCCTTAAGTGCGGACTTACAGGCAGTAAGTATCCTTCATCTAGGTATCTACCATCACTCTCCTAAAAAGATTTCACCACCTCAAAATTCCTGTGCTCTACCTAGTTCTCTCTCCTTCCCCTGGTAACTACTCATCTTTACACTATTCTTGCCGTTCTGCCTCTTACAGAATGCTATAACAGGGAACCACACTGGACTCAGCCTTTTTGCGTTGATCACTTGGCTAGGTGTATTTAAGGTGCTTCTGTGTCTTTCTAAGGACTTTAGCACATTTATTTTTATTTATTTATTTATTTTTATTTTATTGGTACCGGGGATCAAACTCACATCCTCATGCTTGCCAGGCAGCCACTTAAGCCACGGAGCTAAATCCCCAGCCCCAGAACATTTATTTTTATCACTGAACTTATTCCTTTGTATGAATTTGATATATTCGTTCATTTATCTGTTGGACATCCTGGTTGCTTCTAAGTTCTGCCACTTATGAAAAAAGCTGTTAAAAGCATTCATATACAAATTGTGCAGACACAAGTTTTCCATTTTATGTTTCTTTTTGTAACTGACTGTGTCTCCTAGTTCTAATTTGAGATTTGTCTCTTTAAATTCATAAGGCATAGCATATATTTTATAAATATTTAGTTTCTTAGATTGTTGTATTTTATAACCTCATATGTTTTGTTGGATCACATTCTAATCTCTACTCATTTTCTCTAGCAGAATATGTGCCCAGAGAATTTACTATGAATAATAAAATCACAGTTTCTACTTTGTCAATGTATAGTGCCCTCCTAAAGCTCCTCTTCCAGGTGTGGGCTCTGCTTACCTTACCAGTCACCATCTCTATGACAACACATCCCAGACTCCAGATATCTGCAGCACGTCCGTGACCTTCTCCTTTAGCGCGGGTAATGACTTCAGGTGCCATGTATGCTTTAAAAGTCACAGATACAGTGATAATAACAGGCTAGGAATACAGCACTATGTATTAATAACATGAAGCAATAAGCTAATATAATATTCTTTCTCCAAATTATCTGAAAATAGACATGTAAAATCAGTATGTTGAAGGGACTTTTTAGAGACAAAATTACCTTTTAAAACACAATGTTTGACTATGTAAATCTTCAAATAAATTGCATTCATAATGAAATGGAAATTTGACTTGCAGAGTATGAAAAGCTTTATGACACTAAATAATCAAAACAAATAATTACCATTTAATTATAATGTTATTTTTTTTTCCTGTATTACTTGTACCCTTTTATCATTTTCTTTTTCTTTTTTTTTGTCCTTTTCTTTTTTTTACTGGTACCGGGGATCGAACTCACGACTGTCTGCTTCCAAGGCAAGTGCTTATGCCACTGAGCTAAATCCCCAGCCCAACTATAATGTTATTTTAACTAGAACAGTTTCACAATACCAATGCAAACAACAACAAGTGTCTTTGCTGGGAAGAGAAAAAGGCTTTCTGCCTGTAACTTTCAAGAAGTAGTTTAATTCACCAACTGGACAACAAAGCTCAGCAGGAGGCCTTCTTAAGTGGAGGAGCAGCCCTCTTCTTGACCACAAACCTCTTCCTACTCTGCAGATCTAGGTTAGCACAGAAGGGTGAAGGGGAGCTCCAGGGGCCACATGACCCATCCTAAGAGCATGTACAGAGACCTCTCCAGTGGGCCCTACCTGCTGTCCCCAGTGTGCTGTTGACTTCACCAGGCATCGTCTGTGCATTGTTTTTAAGCTTTACCGAGCATCCGAAATCTCCCAATTTGATTAGTCCAGATGAGGTAAGGAAGATATTGGCACCTAACAAGAAATACACAGTCACTACGCAGCCTCTAAATGAGTCCTTTAAATGTTACATGGTGACCTAACTACAGGAAACTATTCATAAACTAAATACGATGAAGCCTTTTGAAACTTTACTTATAAATGTTCAATTACAGAAAGACTTATGAACTTTATTCACAAATGTCAGTAATTCAAAACAGTGAAACTTAACAGCACAGTAGGTAAGTCTGACACACACACACACAAAAAAAACCTGAAGTGCATGCACAAATTCAAACACTAAAACCTCACAGATGTAAACAGAAATTATACACAAAATACCAATGCTTGTAGCAGTCTCTCAACCTGTTTCCATGCTAAGAAGTGACGCTCAGAAAAGAACTGGCAAACACACTGCAGTTCTACAATCACAGCTGAGTTTGCCTCTGGACTTACTGTAGACTATAACTGAAACAATGTTTTATAATGCTTCTATATTTCTACAAGCAACATATATACCTAACTAGTACTCTAGTTAGAATTTGAGTTTATTGTTCAGTTTTCAGGGCAGCTTGGGCTTTTGCTATTGACTATAAGATTGCTTGCTCCAGCGAGTCACACATCTTTGGTACCTGCCTTACACTATGCACTTCAAAAAGCAACATGGAGCCACTCAAGTTGGACAACAGCCACGCAATAAGCTAACGTCTAACATTTCTTCTCAACATCCTAACTCTTGCAGAATTCATGCTCTCTTGCACAGGAATAGTTCTGGAACCATTCTCAGCAGGGAATGCAACATGCAGTCACCATTTCATGACCGTGCACAGTATGGAAATGGGAAATGCCAAAGTTTGCTCAACTGCCAATTAAGCCAGTGCCCAGAGTGCCTCCAGACAGCAAGGCCACATATGTGGTAGAGAGGCGGGCAGCCAATAGTCCCAACATATCATATACTGGGTGACTCAGGGTTGAACCACATTACAAAGGCAAAGCTATTCTTATACCCAGACCAACGAAGATGCTGGTGTAATCAGAATAGCCCACCAGACTGGTTCTAGTCCCTGATCAGAAGTCAGGCCGACTCTTTAGTAAATGTGTTTAGGTTAACCACACTCAGACTCTATGATAGAATACTTTTGGTCAAAGGAACAAAAATACTCTCCTGCTTTAACTCTGCAAGCCTACTTGAAACAAAAGTGAAGAGCGTGGCATGGTTAAGGCAAATGTCACAGTGACAGTTCTGAGATGAAAAACACAGCCATTCCCCTTAAACCAGAAGAGAAAAGCACTTTTAATCAATCAACATGACCAAATTAACCATTAGCAGAATTCTAATTTGGAGGTTGGTGTAAATAAATCCTATTTTTGTTTCTAAAGATACAGGTGCAAATTCTGAATTAGACAAACATTTTTTATTTACTGTCACTTAACATATTGATAACACTCATATATAAATTCAAGGATCATGGCATGGAAAAATTTGCTTTGATCACAAATGTCTATTAAGCACACGGGCTATGTCAAGTCAGCTTATAAAATAGCAGACTTTGCTTGTAAAAAAAACCTAGATTTCTCTCAAAGTTATGTTGAAAAGAAAAGATAAAGCAAATTTTCCTACTCATGAATGGAAGATAAGGTTCAAGAAATTTTTTTCTTTTTGGTTTGAGACAGTATTTCACTATGCAGTTCAGGTTGGTCTTAAAACTCACTATGTAGCCCAGGCTGGCCTTAAACTTGAGGCAATCCTCCCATCTCAGCCTCCCACATGCTGAGATTACAGGTGTGTGCTACCATACCCGGACTCAACATTAGAAATGAGTATCTACAAAGCACCTATGTATGGAATACCAGGCCACTCTGCCCATGGCAACTGAACACATATGGGATTACCTTTAATGTCACGGTGAACTATGCCATGCTCATGGAGAACATTGATAGCAGTGGTGATTTGTTTGGAATATAGCCTAATGACGTGTTCCTGAAGCCCCAGCCTTGACACCTCTTCTAATGTGCCCTCGTCACAGTACTCCATGAAGATGTACATTTCTTCCTGGGGGAGGAATAAAACACAGCCCTGTGTTTGTGGTTTTCTTTACATGGATACAACGTGAAAGCTCTGGAAAACGTCATAGGCCACGCCCCCGAGGAATCAATCTTCTTTCTAGTGGTTCACTACGCTAGCCATCCTGAGCACTGATGTGTGTGTAGCAGGCGTGCCTAGCTCTTCTGCAGAGGTGGCTGCCTACACCCTGTCTGGAATTATACAGCTCGTCAGGGTAAGAATGTCCCCTCCAAATCACAGGGGATGGACTTCTATCACCCTCCGAGGTTAAGTCTGCCATATAATCTCAGACAGGGACCAACAGGGCTTCCCTATAAATATATTATTAAGTACTGAAACACATCCTTTCCAAACACGAACATATTGTGAAAACATTAGAAGTAATCAACACCCAGCTCCCCCTGGAAGCTCCGGCTCTGTACCAAGATGCTCCACAAGTCTTCGGCTTTTCCTCGACATGTTTATTGCTAAACACAGCGGGGAAAATGAATTTGAGGTTTTAATTTTCTCTTATTTCACAATGGTTCCTTTAAGACAGAAAAGAAAACCAGTGTACTGTAAATGGAAAAAGTCACAAGAAGCGGGGGAAGGGACACTTTAGAAGACTCTTCAGACTGGCAGGATGGGTTTCAGTGCTTTATAATGTCAGGTTAATGACTACAGTCTACAACTTACATTTTAGGAAGAACTCCTCTAGTTTCAGAGAGAAGGCAGAAATGATGTAACTCATGGAGATTTCCTGAGAATTAGGCAAAGTTACTGTGCTCTGAAATGAGAAGACCTGTGATGTAGAACAGGACTCCATTTTGTACCCTTACTGATTCCTCACACAGAACAGTGTGATTAAAGTCAGCTTACTCTATGCAGTTCCACACCAAAATACCGAACCAGATTGGAATGTTTGATGCCTTCAAATATTTTCAGTTCATCTGCAGTTTCCTTGATAGTTTTATGGTCATTAGGTTGAAATCGAATCTGTAAAAGAAAAATTGTCTCCAACAGTCAAACTGGAAACAAGCATCTTAAATAGTCAAGGCTGTAAAGCCATCTACTAATGTTTTCATTGTGCAGGCCATGACTATGGTGAATATGACTATAACTTTACTTCCAGATTTTACTTTTTACTTTCCTTTTTTTTACTGTTCCAAGTGAACAGCATCCTTGTTTTGAATATCTGCTGATAATAACAGCTAATAATATCACTGGCAACTGCGACCTAAACCACCAAAAGCATTAAACATTAAGTAAGCAATCACTGTCTCTCAATTCTAGGTAATACAGAAAGTTAAAATGTGATTCTGCACCTAAAAAGTTTACAGCCTATTTTAGATTCCACCTGTAAGGCTACATAGTATCTGTACTTTTCTGTCTATCTTACTATTTCACTTTAGCAATTCTTTCACTCTAGCAATTATCTAGGTTCATTCATGTTGCTAACGAGGTGACTACAGTTAGTAACAATGTATGTATCTCAAAATTGCTGAGAGTAAATTTCAAATTATGAGAAGTGAGGTGATGAATGTGTTAATTAGCTAGACAGACCACTGCACTATCACCATGTATCAAAACTTCATAATGCAGGGATGGCTGACCATTTAGAGATGAAGTGCCCAAACTGCAACCCAAGTGCCAACACTGCAAATACACCTGAATACTGCGATTTTAGTTTACGAAACAACTCAGAAATTAGTGTCTTTTATCTTAAAAACACAATTACATGTGCTACAGTTTGGCCATTACAGTTATACCGTATCCCGTAAGTATATAAAATTATGAAATATAAATTAAAAATTAAAAAAGAACGCTAGGCATTGGGGTGCATGCCTGTAATCCCACCATGTAAGACACTTAGGCAGGAGGATAACAAGTTTGAGGCCAGCTTAGATTACATAGTGAGGTCAAGCCCGGCCTGGACTATACAGTGGGACCTGTCTCAGGAAAATAAATAAATAAATAAAAAATCAAAGTAAGCATATAAATAAAGATAAAAAAGAGAAAGAAAAGAAAGACATTTACAACCAAATTGGAGTAATGACATAAAGGAACGAGGGTCAGGACTGGACAGAGAAAAAGCCTAAACACTGCCAGTGCGCAGAAAGGGGCAAAGAATTGGGACCCCTGTGAGTAAAAACATCTCCCCCTCAGTTGGGTCCAACTTTGAAGCCACACCACATAGTTCTCCAGCGGTACTGAGTCTGGTTTCCTTCGCTCGAGCCGTTCCTCATGGTTCCCTCCTCCACCCATTCCACTAGTAGCAACAGGCATACTGATTACCTGTGCAGTTTACCACAAAGTTCACCTTTTCCCTATAAGTTGTGCTGTCATCATCATCCACCAGCCCTTGTGCTATCTCCCAGTATAGCAGGATCTCTCACACTGTGCAGGGTTGGGCTTGTGTTCCTGCTCTCACACTCCTCGCTGAATTGTCAATATCTTCATTTTCTAGTGTTATCTCAAGCACTGCTGGGTTGGTCCTGTCTAAACTGCAGCACGTGAGACTTAGAACTGGACAGTACTTCAGCCAGCAGTGTTAGTCCCACTATTATTCCCAATCTCTGACATCTGAAGTCCTTCACTACAAAGGCCTAGCTAGGCAACTGACTCACCTCCTTCATGGCCATCAGCTCTCCTGTGTCAACACTGATGCAGGTGTAGACCTTCCCATATTGTCCTTCTCCTGCGAACAACACCAATAGGCCACTCTTCCAGCCAGCTCAGATAAGTTAAATCATTGAAACTCACAGTAATATTCATTAATTCTGGGTACCTATGTTATCCGTGAGTGTGTTTGATACTGTAAGACCCAAAATAGTTCTAAATGTTCTCTAATAACTGAAGTCTCAGGTAATTTTGTCAATATGTCTTTATCTGTAAATACTGTAAGGAGAGAAAATTCCAGAAGAGCATGAGGAGTCTTAGGTGCATTTTGAGCCGTCATGCCTCTTGAGAAGGTCTGGGCAGAGGCAGAAGGCAGCAGGACTGCATCTGGACCCTGTCTAACTCACTGCTATAGGACCAGGAGTGAGGGACGTACAATCTCCTGACACCCCTTCTGGGAGACTTAGGCAATGGGCAGAAGAGCTACACAAGATTAAGAGCAACGATTAACAGGTGTAGAGTATTGACTATTCTCAGGGTCTCCTGTGCTACAGACTAGCTCGTGGGGAAGCTCTAGTTTCCTGATACCCACAGAGTTCCTGTTCCTTTCTATTTGCCCTCTTAGAATCCAAATTCTTAAAGAATTCATGTATTTAAGAATGACCTGAGACATCATTTAATCTACCACTAATTATTTTACAGAAGGGAGTTTTACCTGGAAATTAATCAGAGAGCATTTCAGAAAAAAAGATTGTCCTATCCTGATTTGCATCCATTCTCTGTCTAAATAATAGTCTTGTATAGAAGAAAATAAACGGGTAAAATTTCAGTAGTTCTCCAATGGAAACTTCTGAAATTACTGAGCAAAACTATTCAATTAAATGGACTTGTAAAAATCTTTCTTCAAATCTCATGTTTATTGTTCTTAGCCCACACTTCAGCTATTAAGCAAGGTAAAGACGTCTGATATCATGTATAGTTGCTGTATCTGTAAGATGAGGATAAACTATAAAGATTTAACCTATAGAAGCACAGACAGTACTTTTTCTAACATCAAGTGCCTTCATGCCATGGTTCTTAGTTTCCTTACCAATTTTGTTTCCTCTTTGCCATTTGAAGGTCACTTTCCTCAAGCCAACGTGCATGACATTATCATAGGATTTAGGCGTATCACAAACTTGACCAATGATATTCTTTCTCCTCATTTCTCGGTATCTCTTTTCTTCAAACAATCGGACTGACTTCTGGATAGCTTCTATGGGTCCTTGTTTAGAAGCAGTATCTGCAGAGAGACCCCCAAATTCATCAGTGAGAGACACTTACCAACAAATAACAATGAGACAGAGCAGTATACATATGCACTCCATTACAGCTTATCATTGTCTATCCAGATCAACAGCAGGCGAATTAAGAGTTCTTCCACTAATTCCAGTACATATCCCCATCCAATAGAGTACATAAACCCCAAGCTCAGCAGCTAATCCCCAATCCTTATCTGTGCTTCAGGCCGATGGCTGAGCCACTACAGTAATTTCTATGGCTTCTATTCCCTGCTCTTCCCAGCTCTCTTGCTGGTCAGCATTATCTTACCACTCAAGAAATCTTGACATGTTACTTTCCTGGGTTTATTTGTGCTCTCCACTGCTTATGAACCAACAATCCAAATTCTTATTTGGGGTTGGAGTCAAGAAGAATTTGGACCCAGATTTTCTTCTTTGGTTTTGTTTGCCATTCCTCTTGTATTCTGCTACCACATGCTCCATATTGGTCAGACTGGATGATTTAGGGAGCACACCAAACTGTCTCATCCGTAAGGCTGCTCATACTTTCTCTTCTTCCTAAAATACTTCCTCAACACAGCAACCACTAAGGAAAACTCACAGGACTCAGGTGAAATAAGCACTTCTCATAAAAGGGAATGAAGTTGTCTTCCCAGGAAAGAGGTTAAAGCAAGACTCCAGCATCGTAACACCCAGAGTAATTACTTTCTAGGTGCCTGCCGAGGGGGAAATCGATCGACTTCACACATTGCATACCTAATCTATTAATTGACTTCTTCAGCTGTGAAATGAAGGTGGTAACACTGAATTCAGACCAATTGTGAAGATTTAATGAAATAATGCACATAAAGCACTTAGCCTGGTGCTTGGAACATGGGGAAACTCAGTATACATTAGCTATTGTTATCATCCCTTATGTTCCCACTAGTGTCTATATCACTATTTCTCCCACTTATTTTACCATGACTGAAAGGAAGAGATACCTTTGATGTACTGAATGATATATCTAAAAGGAGTTTTGTGAGACATTACACCCCTTTCTAGATCTAATTCTGATTCCATCCTATCCTTGTTTTTTTTTTTATCAGTACCAGGAGTCGAACTCACAACTGCCTGCTTGCAAGACAGGTGCTTATGCCACTGAGCTAAGTCCCCAGTTCCCTATCTATCCTTGTTAATAGCTGATCATTCATACTAAAATTGTACATCCACTAATGGGTCATGACTCATTAACTTGAAACCACTGATTTACACAACATTTTTGTGACTGCACTTTTTCACACCACACCCTAAAGAACTACCTAAGAGCTTTAAACTTCTAGCCAAGAGATCTTTGAAAACCTGAATGACTGTAAGGTTAATCTGAAGTGAAATTATGTTTTAGTTTTTTAAAAACTACAATCATTTTAAAACATAGGTTCCAGTTTGTTTCCTTTACCTTAATATATGACATAGTATGTGTGCCCCTCATAGGACAAGCTTTTCACAGCTGTGAGGCTGTAGACTACGTTGTCAAGTATTTCTGGGAAAAGCTTTTTTTTTCCCCCCCCAGACCCCCAAAGGAAAAGCTTTTTTTTTGTTTTGTTAAGCATAAGCCTTTCTCAAGATTTCTCAGTATTTAATATGTCAGCGTGAGCTAAAACCCACAAGAGAAACTGCATTCTGGTGGTTTCCAGAGCATTTGCTTCAATAAGCATGGCAAACACCTAGTACCCAGAGAAACTGCTGTCACAAGAGAGCCATAGAGAGTCCAACTCCTCTTCACGAGGATCAAGTCCAGGAAGTGTCTCCCACTTGACCCTCAACACACACCTAATCTGCCATGAGGCCTGTCTACTGTTGCAACGAAGCTATTTCTTGCTATCATCTCTTTTTTAGACCTCCCCTTAGACCAGTACCTGTTACTAACGTTGAATCACTGGATAGTGTTCTGTTCTCCCAAGATGCTGCTCAATTCAGACGAACAGCATAACCTACCTTTACAGTGTCTTTCTAAGCCCCATCCTTCCACTAACGAAACACCTAGCTACTCAGGATCCTTCAGAGGTGCATACTATTTCTGAGTAAGGGTTTAGATTACTGAAGATATCTATGATCAGAATATCCTTCTACTTCTCCGATTTCACCTGTATTTATAGTCACACCCACCAGTCTAGTCAACGGGCCATCCTCCAGTCACCAGGCCTCTTCCTCCTGAGCACTCTGGGCCTCGGGGAACAAACACTCTTTCAATTGTGACACAAAGTTCAAAGGACTACTGTGGAGGAGACAGCTATGGACGTGAAGAGAGAAGCATGCTCTAGTCCCAGCCCTGCCATTTTCTATCTTAGCCAAGTATTTGACCTTTTAGAATCTGTGTTATTTGAGAAAAAAGATTTGTTCTGCCCACTGCTCAAGATTACTGTGACAAAAAATACCTGATGGTATTCTGTATTCATTCTTCAGTTAGTATTCATTGATCAGCATGTTCAGTTGATTCACTGATCAACATGTGTAACGTGTTTTTTCCTTCTACTTACCATAAAAAATGTTTACTTATTTCACAAATATTTATTAAAGAATTACATCAAGCTTCTTAGAAACTTATTAGTGGACCAATTTTAGTTAGAAAAATAGTGAATGTCCATAAACATACTGTATGGCAGTATGATGTTCTAACTGATGTTAGAAGTATAAATGAGACCCCAAAATATTAATGTATAAGGCCTACTAATTTAAAACCTAAAGCAAATTTTAACTGAAACTGCTCATGTTCTGATTAAACACTTTTAAGTTTAATGTCTTCTCTTACCTTTGGTTTGGCTAATAAGTGTCCGTAATTCCCAACTTCTCCGTGTTGATCCACTTGTATCACCCCTGGGATATGCTGGCTCTGCAGGAAGTATTTGTTCACACGAATTAAGATTTATGGAAAAAATATGCTTGAGAGCAAAACTGAAATGATGAATGGTAATAGTCACCATCAACCTCTCCTTTCTAGTGATTCCTTCCTAATGTGTTTAATATGTGTGTTTCTATAAAATTGGGCAAACTAAGAGATTATTACAGGATTTTTACTAATACAGTAAAACTTTCCAGAAGTAACAGATAATTGAATGCTGAGCAGACACTGCATTCCTGTTGACTTCACTGAAGAGGTTGGTTTCAGGAGTCTCCACCCTGCTACACCTAGAACAAGGACAGGGTTCTCCAGCAGACAGTAAGGACTGCATCAGAACATAACATCAGTGTATGATCCACACACACAATATTACTTCTGCCTTTCAAAAGGAATAAGAGCATTCAACAATTAAAATACCAGAAATTTTTAAAAAGAAAAGGAATAAAAGGCGATCCAAAATATGCAGGAGTTAAAAGGCATCTATTTAAAAAACCAAGAAGTTTGCTTCTTCCCCTTCCTTCTGATTAAAGATATCAATGAGAGAAACTAGCAAACTAAAACATATGATAGGCTAGGGATAATACAGGAAATAACTGAAAACACTCACCATCTCTCTCTTCCGTGGGGCTTGAGTGACGACTCAGGGATCTAAACTGCAATTCAGCAGCTATAGATGCCAACCGGTCATTTTCAGGAACACTGGAACCCCTGTTTTAACATTTTTAACAATTGAACTGTCAGTTCAGTAAAACTCAAAATGAAAGATTCATGAGATTCTCTTGGAGCCCTGATACACAACTGGAGACAGTGCTGCCACCCAGGGACAGTGGCTAGGCATGCAGACACTTTGGACTACAATGACTAGCAGGGTGTAAATGGCATTAGTGAGCACTGGACAATGCACAGGACAATCCCGCAAGAATAGTCGCTCAAATAAACAGTGGTGCCATTTTGGAGGCCATTAGTCAGTTTTCCACTGTCATCCCTCTACACCCAGCATGGTAGCCCCATGACACGTGCTTTCAGAGTACTATACCTTATTTACATAAACAATAGAAATAAAAATAAACCCTATTTACTTAAGTATGATCGACATGCATAGAAAGCTCCACAATTTAAGCTCAGATAGGGAAAAATGCATTAGCCAAATGTGGCCAATATTTAAGGTTACCATCAAATTATATTTATGTACTTACTTATACTTAAAGTACTAAAATCATTACATAGTTCCAACAGATTCCAAATCTCTGGATAAGAAAAGGAAGGAAGTACCTAATGATTTCTCAAGCAGTAGCCAAGCAAAAGTACAAAAGAGCAGGAAGCTTAAAATACTAAAGGACAAAGTTAATTAACTGCTTTTCCAGAATCAAGTTAAATGTTCAGCCACCAGATGAACCCACAAGCAAAAATCAGAATTAAGTAAGGGGGAGTGTTAAGCTGCAATTCTAATAATCCACAATCTCAAAATATAGCATTAACTTTTAAAAAAGTTACTGGGTGCATTTTTAGCAAATAATATAATGAAGTATGGTAGCATTTATGCTCTTTTTTTTATTAAATTGAAGGCAAACTTTTTTATTAGGCTGAAGGTAATACTGTATATACTGTATTGAACAAATTTTGAAATACGCATTATTTTATATATCTCTAAACCCTCGAGCCTTGTACATAACTTGGTAGTCTAAAGAAAGGGTAACATTTTTGGGCCTCTTAGGAGGTAAAATCACTGATGTTGAAGCAAAGAAATATAAGCAATGCCAAAGGCTGTGAGATCATGGAGAAGTTACTCAATATCTATTTCCTGATTTCCTGCAGGTAAACACTGAAATTCTATGTTTTTCAGAGATTTTTGCTAGGGTAAAAGACAAGAACCCATGCTTACACAAAGTGGTGCATTTGTGGATGTTTAACATTTAGCTGTAAGGTGGGATGTGAGGGACGGGAGGTGGGTCTAGAGTTTGCAGATTTTAGTGGTGTAACAACCAGCCTGTAAAATACCTGCAAGTTAACCAGTTGAGCTCTTATGCTATCAGTTGCTGGCTCTAGCAAGTCCATAACACAAAAATGTTTTATAAACATAGAGAAGAGAATTGAAGCCAAGAATAGGTATCTCCTAGGCCAAATAAAATTGAACCAGTAAATACTATCTTGTATAGTCAAAGTCCCTCACATTGCTTTCTCCCTGAAGCGCACTGGCTGGCAAGCCCACAGCCACGATGAGGCTCCTGCTCTGGGTATGCATAGTAAACTTCAGCAGCAGTGAACTCACACAGCCCATTCCCTTGACTCACTGTGAATGTGAGCCCCTAAGCACAAGGGCTGAGTGTAGGGGCAGTCTCACAATCACCCTAGCCTAGAACAGTGATGGCAAACATCCTGCAGGTGCACAGCAGGCTGTTCGTACCACTGAAAGCTCTAAAAGGTTCAGCACCACAGCACTAGGACACCTTTGTGTGACTGTTCTTCTCTACCCACCAGTCATATATATAATGTCATATAGACTTTATTCTTTTGTAAAACAATAGATTTTGATATGGCAGACTACAATGCTACTAAAATGCACAGTCCTCAAGAACTATCCAGGTATGTACAAATGTTTGACAATTACTTAAGAAATGCTATTCATAACATGCTGGGAAATGACTTACACAAAGCCTAAGATTGAATGTGTGCAAAGGCCAATCATAGGTGTTCAGCTCTTATACTACATTTTAAACACTTTAACTCACGGTCTTTCCTTTCTGGATGACCTCCTGAAGGTGGCAGCAGAAGGCGTGGACTGGGCACCATGGTCCAGCTAATGCTTTCAACTACTTTGTGCTTACAGTTCATTTATTTCCCTTGACTATGACCACATTTATAAAAAAAAAAAAAAGTCTCAGTCTTTCCACAGGGATATGGAAGGCTATGTGAAAATAATTCACTAATAATTCACTAAACATGTGTAGGGAAACAAATCCCTAAACAAAACAAAGAGTATAAACGGAATCTGGTTCAATGTTAATTGTTGATTTTTTACAGGTGACCACTGAAGTGATCAAAAACTTCAACACTTTTTAGTTTATAGATATTTGACATTGCAAGAAATGTTTTATGAGTAAAAATAATGAAAATGTTTACAGAGATTTTAGCTGTTATAAAAGTAAGTCTAAAAACATTTTAGTCTTTTAACCTAAAGCCATAAATACCCTGTCCGTCAACTATTACACTAATATTTTTCCTATGAGCTAAACAGCACACTGAGTTGTGTCACGATTTCATCTTTTGTGAGCAAAGCACACCCAATCCAAATACTTTTATATGTCCTTTCTGGAAGATGAGACTACTGACCTACTCAAGTCCAGAGAATTAAGAGTGGCCAAAGATTGTCTCTCCACTAAGTAAATGTGAACTTGATAAAAATCCTCTGGTAAAAGGTAAATAGCATGCAAAATACTCCAACTTTCTCCTTACAAAAGGCTTTCTGCATGAGACTTAAATTTTCTGGAGCTTATCAAATGTCTCATAGTTCTCTTTAGTAATGATCTATTTTCAAGTGATATACAAACCTTGTGAACTTAGCTTTACACTTTAACATAAATACTTCTAATCCAATTTTTTAAAAATCAAGAAATCAGGTTAGAAAACTGATCCTTCTAAAACAGGAAGCACCACTTAACATTAATAGGACACCGTCTCTGGCTCTGTGTCACATCTCCTCCTACTGCACTCCAGGTTCTTTCCTCTCAGACTCTCCACAGAGCTACTACTACCAGCAGAGTGTCTGATCATTCTGGCTAATAGTGAATCTGTAAAAGTACTAACGCCAGACAAGTAAGAGTCTGCTTGTGCTGCCTGGCACAAGAGCCTGGGGGCCGGGAAACCCTAGAGAGCCCCTCAGCAACACTCACATAACGAAGGAAAGAAGCCCAGCTCTCCCCTATAACACATCCTAAAGCTGCGGTCCCGGTGGAAGGGCGGGAGGGATGGCAAGGAGGCATGACACTGGGGATGGGAGACTACCTGGTATCAGGGGCAGTGCTGATAGGTTTGGGCGGCACAGCGTCACCACCAAAAGGGCCAGGCCGACTGGTGGTGGCGGCGGCGGCAGCAGCAACAACAGCAGTAGCAGCAGCAGGGCTGCCGTGGCTCCGCATGTCCGAAGACACGCTCCGAGTGCTAAGACAAGAAGAAGAGCTTCAGCAACACTGGTGAGAACAGGGCATGGACTCACAAATGGTTTCAGTTAAAAGTAAAACATGGTAAGGACGTGAAAGTATGTAAAAAGAAAGTATGACCAAAAGAATCCCAATTTCAAAGGTTTCAAAGGTTCCAAAGGTTTTTAAAAAAGAATTATGGTCCCTACCAAGCCAACCCTTTTAAAATAACCTTTAAAATTAACTTTTACAAGTGATTTCACAGGGGAGAGAGGATGCTCACTATCTCAAGAAGCAGAAATGCCACCACATTCACGGAAATCATTGTGAATATACTTGTTTTTGAATTTACTTCAGTGTTACATTCGTAAGTTAGGAATGGAAAGGTCATTCCAACTCTCTCCATTTTAGTATTGTTTACCAAATGGTTACTTCATATATAAATCTATTTCCCTAAAGTAATTTTTCAAAGAAAGGAAAGAATTATTTCAAAGCCAGAAAGCATTTAGTAGTTTAAAGTTATGAAAAGCTGAGTTATCTCAAAATGTAGTTTTGTTTTAAATCTGCATGCCTTTTTTCTTTTGCAACTAAAGCATTGTGTTAACTCTTCAAAATAATGCAGACAAGAGTTTTTAAAGGCACATGAACAAGAGAACAGAAAACCATTTGGCTCTAGAGCAAACAGTCAGTTGTTTCAAGAGCACCAGCAAGCATATCAGAGAAGAATCCATAAGCCAAATGACAGAGGAACACCAAATACCTGAATCCCTCTGGAGTTGGAATAATTAGATGTGGGTTAGGAGGGTCACTATGGCATCGAGGTACCTTCACAGGACGGGGGCTGTTCCGATGAATGGCTGCCAGTAAAAATGGCAAAAATGCAACTTGTTAAAGTGGTCAACAGAAAACTGTCATTATATGTAATCTGAAAGTAACTTGATATTGCCAGTGATCAAAATAACCAAGTATCAAATATCCAACTATTATGAAAAATGTCTATTTTTAATAGTTAATAAAGCTTTATTACACATTCAAAGTTTTGTCCACCTAAAACATTTTTTAAAACCTGTAGTGAACTATACATAATGTATGCTAAACAAATGATTGAACCATTCTAGAGATTTTGATCTTGTAGTCATTTCAATAGGTCCTGTGTTGGGGTCAAACATGCAGGTCTATTCAATTGCTTTAAGCCAGCCCAGGTGGATAGAACACTATTTCACTGCATGTTCCCCCTCCTGCCAGAATATGTTTTCTTCTCTTCTTTTAAATATTCTAACCAAAGGGTAACACAATAAAATCTTAAATGAAATTTAAGACCAGTGATCTTACCTAATGCCAAAAACTTCACTTTCCTGGTAAGAAACTATAAATAATAATGGACAAGTGTTACATTTTGTCCAATTCTAACATGTTTTTCTCTTATTGTAACTAACTGGCTTAACCTTTGTTATGTTTTTAACTTTTTATGCTGTATTTTCTTGTCACACAATAATTTTAATTCACAAACATTTTATTGTAAATGGAAATTCTCTTTCTTTGGTTTGTTCCTTTTAATAACATTACACAAGAGACACAGAACTACTGAAATTAGAAAGACCTGAAGATGCCTTGTAAAACTTGAAAAGCGAAAATGAAGCAACTAGTATCAAAAAGTCAGGAAATCTGTGTCTCTGGTTCATCTTCTTAAGTAAACAGTAAAAAGAAAGAGAACAAAATGATTTGATGAGGATGACAACATCACTGATTCAACAAAGATACTTGGAACTAGTCAAAAATTATCCCAGGGCCAGGCATGGTGTTGCATGCCTGTAATCCGAGCACTCAAGGTGCTGAGGCAGGAGGACTGCTGTGAGCTGAAGGCCAGCCTAAACTGCATAGTGAAACTCTGTCTCAAAAAGACAAAAAAATTTTAAAAGTTTACAAAAATTTCTCATGAAAGTATAAAGACATTCTATTAAAAAAAATGAACACACTCAAATTTAATAGTCTCTATGAAACAATACATTTTAAGATATGTGTGTTTAATGTTGCAAAATGGATATTTCATTGGGGAAAAAGAAATCCAAATGACCAACAAGCAAAACAGACATTCAGATTTCACTAGACTTGAACAAAAGAGATGTTTTTCATGGCCATGACAAACAAAAGACCATAAAGAATGAATTATAGTATATCAATGATGGCCATAATGTACCCACTATAAAAAAAATTACGTAGATCTACATCTGCTGATATGGAAAATTTCTACAACTGTCAGATTAAAAGATTAATAATTCAGGCAACCCCATTTTTCTATAGTAAGTGGCAGAAAAACCACTTTATATATGCTTGTATAGTTATAGTGCATGGAGAAAGGTAGGATAGAATGTGTTTGTTATGTGGATAAACAGAAAACATGAAAGGTTATATACCAGGCTGTTATTAGTAGTGTTTAGAGCAGAAGTAAGCAACAATAACAACTCCCTTTTAAGAAAAGAATGTAAAATCAAAATCAATGATCCCTATTGTGTATGGGACACGAGAGTTCACAAAATGTTATTACCTAATTTCTTCTTCATTAGCATCCCACTTTACAGAGGAGACGCAATGATGTTCAGTGAGCAGCCCCAAGTCCCTTGCTGTCGTGCAATCTGACTCTTAAGTTCAATTCAACCACCCTATAGCAGTTGAGGCAACAAACAATAACTTCAACCTACAAAGAACACTATTAACTATCCCAAAAACAGTTTGGAGTGACAGGCATATCAAAGATCACTAAGATGTGCTTACCTATGGATTATGGGAATAAAAATATCTTCATATATTCTTTTTTTTTTTTTTTTGCTAATCATATATTCTTAGAAAATTATTTTAAGAGATAAGAAAATCAACTTATTATAATAGCCTTAAGCAAAAGCTTGGTAACAATATAACGAGATTTGCATAAATCTGTATGAACTGAGTGAATTTTAAAAGTTAAAAACACTCAGTGATTAAAATGTGTTCTAATACTAAATTTTGTGTAGGTAACAGGTATCCTTTAAGAAATATAGTTGTCGCTCAATAAATTCACTATTTATTAACTGTTTCTTGTGTTGTATTGAATTGTATAGTATTTCTTGAACTATATAGTATTTCTAAGTTTTCCTTTTCTCTCTTCTTTCTTCTGTTGGCAGTGCTAGTAACTGAACCTAGAAACTTGCACATATTTGGCATGCACACTACCATTGTGCTATATTCCCAGACTTCATCACTTTTGAGAGTTCATTACACACAAATCAAGTTTTGTTTTATTTACAGTGTATGAACAATGGCATAAGACATAATCTTTCCTTGACATTTTGTTTTTAAACCTTGAATATATACTTTAAAACTACACTAACTGTAACAGAAACCTGTAATTAAAATAATGTATATTTGCATGTGTGTTATATAACTTGATTGTCTAAAATGTAAAACCGATCAGAATACACTACATGGAGCGTGAAAATGAGTATTTGCAAAAACTGGGGAAAATAAGTCCCCTCCCGCTTTCGGAGATAAAAAGATACAGAAAAATTACTTGCCCAGCTGCATCAGGGGCCTGCTAATGTCTGTCAAACACTACCTCTGCATAAGCAAAGATTTCAAGAGAAAAAGTAGAATCATGGTGCTAACATGGGGAGGAGAAAACCCCACAGTTTAATCTTGCTGGTTAATCATGGAATATCTTATCGCATTTTAAACTTCTAGCTGGTTTTATAAGATTACCATGAAGTGTGCACATACATACCTCATTTCTGTCACTTCCATTATCATTTCTCTGCATATTTTAAAAATACCTTTTAAAAGTATAAATGGCAGCAATCAAAAGACGATTTGTTTATCCAAACCAGTATGTTCCAGGAGAAATGCTACAATAGCTGGTCTTACCAAGGTACAAACCTGTAACAGGACTGTGTGGCTTTCCTATGACATGGCCAATGCATTCATTCATCAAGGCTTGTAAACTCTAGAAATGAAAATAGGAAGAAAGAGAAAAAATGTACAATCTTAATTATTGAAGTAGCATATGTTAGGTTTTTACTGTAGTTTAAAAATATGTAATATAAACAAAACCTGTAGCATAAAATTTTGTTTTCATAAAAAAAGTACAATAGTAATCAGTCTCCCATAATAAAATGACAACCATAACAGAGGATCTTTCATAAAATCATGTCTACTACTGGGAAATTAAAAATGAAATAAATTTACCTTCTATCTTTCAGACTTCATGGAACTTACTGGAACAGTATTAACACTAATAATACTGGCATTATGACTTCAAATGATGGACATTTAAGTGACACAATTAGTCCTTAGTCATCATTAACTTGCCAAAAAGCAGCAATGAAGCTGACAGTTTATAAAACACAGAAAATTCATATTTTAGAAGTGCCAGGGTTTATAAACAACTAGACTCTGACTTAACTGAACACCATTGTTATAGAAAGAGGACTAGAGATCTCATTATGTTACTAAGCATGCTTTAACTTTTCAACATCATTACTATAATTACATAAAATATTTAACAGTTATTATTACTTATTTAAGAACATATAATTAGGGAACAAAAATGATCAACTTGTTTATTTTTTAATGAAAAAAAAAAAAAAACCTTTCAAATATTCCATACCAAGAAGTCATCTTCTGGTAGAGCTGAAATAAAGGCAGGCTCAATGGCTTGTAAAAAATCAAATCCTTGAGTTGCCCACCTGTCGCATAAAAATGGTTGAGAATTACAAAATAACCAAGAAAATGTTTGTAGTACTCTTACACTATACAATATTGAAAATACTGTAATTAGAAAATCACAGTACTTTATAGGATAAAATACCTTTTTTTTTTTGTTTTACATAAATGCCTAGTTTGAAGTGAGTTATAGGTGACCTTTTGGGGGAAAACACAGAATGGCTTTTAAAAATTTTTTATATTTAAGAACAGAAAACACAGAAGATATTAGAATATGGGTGTCCATTTATATTTTTATAAGACATATGAAATGTTCCTACTGTTAGTCCTAATTGTAGCAAACTTGTATTTCTTTAACTTGGAAATGGCATTAAAGCATCCCATGATGTTCTTCCAATATGAACTACAGAACATCCAGCTAACTTTTCAGTCCTAATACTTAACAATCGTGCTTACAATCGTGCATGTCTATAATCCAAACCTCAGAAGGCTGAGGCCAGGGGACTGCCATAGATTCAAGGCCAGCCTAAACTACATAGTGATAGCCTATATCAAAAAAACCGAAATCGCCATCATCATTGTCATCGTTCATTTCTGTGTAGTTACTAATGAACATATCACAGATATTTTATGTTTTCCTCATATAAATTCTAAAATGGCTGACTGCTAGGTAAACTTTACCCATTTGATTCCCATTTACACAAGTAACAGGCTTAATTATGAGAGGCAAATAAGAGACTAACAAGCTCACCATGGTGGTGCACACTTGTAATCCCAGCACTCAGCAGCCTGAGGCAGGAGGATCACCATAAGTTCCAGGCCAGCATGGGCTACATAAAGAGTTCAAGACCAGCTTGAACTGCATAGTGAGATGCTGTTTCAAAAAAACAGCAAAACAAAAAGAACAAAGAAAAACCCAACCAACCCAACAAACAAAACTCCACAGAGATTAGCAATCAGGAAGACTTGCCCATGGATAATGTGAACTCCCTTAACAGTAACTCGCTCAGTCTGGGTTCATTTTTTTTAAAATAAATTTCCTAAGATTGCATATTTTCACTAAAAACAAAACAAAACAAGATCCCTGATCACTACAGTATTTAGAATGTTCTCTCCTGTTACTGTCTGTTCAGAAATCCCATCTAACACAGGAACAAAATACTATCAACCACACTCAACTCACACAGGAAACAAGTTATTTGGTCATTACCTTGGTCTGGTACCTCGACCACTTTCACATTTAGTCAGCACATAATTCATCCATTTCCGGGCAAAGCTTATGTATCTATCTCCTATCTTCTGTTTAAACTCTCCCGACATCAAGCGAACAACTTCTTTATGATACTGTAAGAAGATGTCATATATATTAAAATTAAGAAAACCATAATAATACCTACACACTATAGTGTCAGTTTAAAGTGCCATTTTCTAAAAACAAAAGGCAAAATTCTATTAAAACCTATATATTCTGAATAGTACTAAAATTATAGTGTCTCAAAGTTTCATGTTTTATTCATAAGTTTAAATTACGTATGAAGTTTCATGATATTAAACATTAAAGAAAGTGTTAAATTTAGTATATAGTTATTAGCACAAAATAAAAACTGGGCAACTATAAGGTAATTTAAAAAGAAGACACTTCTGATATACAGCAGGGATGTAAGATGGCATATTTCACTAAGGTATAATTATAATATTAATTTGCCCTAAAAGATTCATAATACTTCTGGTAAGGAAGCTACAAAGCAATTACCAAGCTACACTATATTTTTTCCTCTCCTTTTATACTTACCTCAAACCCAAAATTGTAGCCTTGAATCATTGCTTCTCGGTAGTACTGCTGCAGTGTGACAGACTCAGATTCATCAACTTCAGCATCAAATTCTGATGTGAACATGTGGTCCACTCGGTCAATGGCATCACTTATTCTGTTGCATAGTTGTAGTGCATCATTCTGAAGAATCCCAAATCACAATCAATCCAAAATGAACCAAATCACATAACAGTTACTGCATTTTAAAGGAACGTTTCATTCATCATCACAGATATTTATCACTACAATATATTCCAGCCACATTTGTTCTAATTATCAAAAGGAATGAAATATAAAGGAAATATTTTTATTTGCACTTTTAGGCATTCTTTAATATCTACAGAACACAAAATGGGAAAAAGTCCATTTTAAATGGTAATGCCTAATTACAATTTGGTCTTTGCTATTTTTAATTTTGATTAATTATGTTTGTTTGTTTGTTCCAGACAAGGTCTTGTTATTTAGTTCAGGTTAGCCTTGAACTCATTATGTAGCCCAGGTGATCCTCCTGCCTCAGTCCCTCCAGCACTGGGATTACAGGCAAGTACCACCACACCTGGTCTTTGAATAGATGTTCTATCTTCAGTATTTTGTGTGTCAACCACCAGAGGTAGTACTGGCAATGTCTGAATCTAGTTTTGTTTATAAAAATTGGGAGAAGGCAGAATCCACTGGCATCCAGAGGCTAGCGGGCAGAGATACTGCTAAACATCTTACAGTGCACAAGATAGACGCCCCACCAGCAAAAAATTACTGGTTTCAAATGTCAATAGTGCAAAGTTTAAGAAACCTGGCCCTAATGCAAGCTTTTCATGTCTCTCTAAGCCATATTAAAACAGCTCCAAATTCCTCTCCCTTCCCAGCTGTCCTTAAACACTTCTGTGTATGCATGGTATGCATCAGGCAATCACCCCCACATAGTGTTACAAAATAGTCTTCCAAAATCTTCAATAACTCCCTGAGTCCTACCAAAAAAAAAAAAAAAAAAAAAAAAAAAAAGAAAGAAAGAAAAGAAAAAGAAGAAAAGAAAAAACAAAAAACGTCCAAAACAAAACAAAACAAAACAAAAAAAAAAACAAGCAAATCTAGTATCTCTCAAAAAATAAACTTTGGACCTCCTTATTTCACCAGTCTACTACTTTCCTATTTGAGAATGAAGATCCAGCCAAATCAGACCATGTGACATCCAGGCAGTGGACCCATAACCTTGACCCAATGACATCAATGCTCAAATGTTTCTTTTGTTAGTTCCTTCCCAGAATGCATCCTCCCAAGCTGAATTCCCAGATGCTATAAGGAAGTACTAAGTTCTTTCTCTTCTGTACGTAAGTGTGACAAGTTAGGTCCTTAGAGCTATAAATTTCCTAAGTTCAAAAATAATCAACTCATAAAATCTTACACTCTCCAGAATTCACTGGCTCAAAGCAAGACAAAAGCACCCTGCTCTGATAAGACAGTGGGATTGCAAGTTATGAGAGATTTACAGAGAAGTAAGACACATCAGACTGACAGAACTAAAGCCATTTGAGGGACTGCTTCTTCAAGAAGGTGACTGAGAAGACATAACTGATGGCTCATGGAAAACTGTAGATGAACCAGGACTACTAAACATGGTACAAAAGAGAAAGCGGTGAAAACAGAAACAAAGGGAAAAGAATGGACGGCTCTGACTGGTCACAGACTTCGAAAATCTTTATGTTTGTATTTATCTACAACTGTTTTCTCTATCACAGTGAATTCTGCTGAGTTATCTATAAAATAAAGGAATAAATAAACATCACTGCTACGGGAAAAACTGGAAATTGCTAAAGGAGAAAACTAATATGATATGAAAAGACCTAAATGCCAATCTCAGCTTTGCTACTAACCAGCTATGTTATCATTAACATCAAAGAATTACTCAATTTTCTATCCTTTCAACTCTAAAGTTTCACAGTTCCAAGAAAGATTCAGAACTTTCTTTCCTATCTAAACATGGAAAAAATGTATTTAAGGATACAACTTAACAATTTAAGTTCAAATGACATCATATCACACTCTTCATTTCCTCCACAGCACGGTACCCCAAGCAAAGACCTCCGCCACAAGGCAGGATACAATGAAGTACCTTGAGCTGCTGCAAAGCTGTGGCAATGACTGGCTGACTGGATGTCTGCTCTTGTCGGAGCGTCATAAGTCCCTCAATGGACTGCTGGAAGGCTTTTCTCTGAATTGTGAGATGAGCAGATTGCATCACGACTAGTAAAAGATTGTCCACCTGCGAAGAAAACCAAACATAGGGCATAAAAGCAAATCGCTGACTGTTTTCCCACTCTAGTTCCACACCCAAAACAAACTGTCCAGAAACAATGCCAACGTCCGGGCTACCAGACGAACCATCTCACCAGTCTTCTGCAAGCAAAGGTGCACCTAGAGAGCAACACACTGCAATGGGTACTGACACCGAGGCCCTCAGTATAGTGGAGAAGCTTGTGCAACTGTGGACATGACAGCTTTCAAACAGTCTAGACCTCCAAAGGGACTAGAGCTGCTGGTACAGTGTGTACGTGTGTTCACACACGTGTGAAGACAGAAAAGATAAGAATAAGAGTGGGATCAGATGAAGGGTCTCATTAAGAGACCAAGACCATATAATTTTTATTCTTGTAAGAGATATACTCACCGCACTAATTTAAGCAGAGCTATGTATAATAACGATCATTGACAAAGTACCAAAACAATCAAAAAATATAACTGGAGCAGGGCATGGACATTTCAAGTACAGAAACTAAAGGTAAGAAACTGTAATAGTTCTGGAAAGGAATGATGATATCTGACTATGGCAGCGGCTGCGGGGCAGGGATAGGATCAATTACTGCACACAGTGCCGGCTTGCCAAGCTAGTGATTAACTGGGAGGGTGGGAGGCTAAATTTATATTAACTGTCACATTTCTGGCTTAACAAGCACACCATCCATTCAGGGAAGGCAGGAGAAAGAACAGACCTGTAGCTGGTGGGGGACAGAGGCTGCATGTGAGATGAGCGTAAATATTAACCACTCCTAAGCCTGACAGATATAACATATGAAGTCTCCTTATAGTCTTAGCAAGTTACATAAACTAATCAGGATCCTTGTTAGGTGGGCAGATGTCAGTCTTTACTATAAAAATGAAAACTGCACACATTACTAAGCCAGAGTACTTAGGGGATTTCTGGAACTACAAATTATGTAAGTAAGATCATTCCTTGTGATAATTTTATTAAGTTAATTTCTTTTAGATCTCAGGTCTCTAGATGTAACTATATGACTATACCAAGTAAAGGTATAAATAAAATATATGACTTACTTCAAATGTTTCAGTGTAATTTAACATATTGTACTTAATAGAACTAGGAATATTTTAATATAAATTAATGCTGAAAATTACATGGCAATTCACAGTGGCATGCCGTGGGAAAGGACACACTTGAGATTAGAAAGGCAGTTAAACCAATCATTCGTGAGCAGCTAACAATTCATTTTCCCTAAAAGTACAATATTTTAAGAAAATAATACAGCTGGAAGAGACACAAAGTAGGACCGACCTGCATATTTTTCAGGGTATCAACAGTCTCCACCTGGGGCATTACTTTCACAGTCTGTGCCTCCCATGTGCCCCAGCCATCATCTGAGTCACGTGCTCGATCCCCATGCTTCGTTAGAAGCAGAAAAACATCTATGAGCAGATCATCTGGGTCTTTGGAACAGTCTTTTCCTGCAGCGGCATTGAGTAACTGCAGAATGATACCCTTCTCCTCAGCAAGGGTGTCTGGGACAAACACTTGCAAGTTTTCTAAGCCAGGAATCTGAACCTGTAAAGAAAAAATCCCATCTCACATTAAGGAACACTGTACATACAGAATGTGTTATTAAAAAGCAAACTAGAAAAAGACAAGCAAGTTTATGGTAGAGGATTATGGAAAAATGTTGATCTAAGCAGCAAGAGGACTTCAAGGAGCTTGATTTAGTGTGATTGAAGGAGAGCACAGCTTGGGAATAGACTGTGGGAGGTCACTCCAGGTTTCTCCAGTGACAAGAACACCTCTGCACTGTTTTACTTTCAATAACAGAGAAAATACTCCTGGAAGTGGGGAGGGGGGGGTCACAGAAAACCTCCCAGGGATCATTTTAATGACGGTCACCAATATGATGATCTAAAGGCCGCACATACTACCCTACTTGACACATTCTTTGGTTGGCATGCAATTTTCAGTGACATCATACATATATGTATGATTCAGAACTGCTAAAAACGGTTATAATTTAAAGGGAAATAAAGATGGTGCCATATAAACTTTTAATTGCTTTTGGAACTATAAGGGAAAAAAACAAAGTGATTCAGATCAACATTACACTCCTATAAATTATTTTAAAAACATACAAATATATAAAACTAAATATACTAAATGAGTAATTAACTACATTCTTAAGTTAATGAATCAAGTATGGAACAGTTTCTTTTCCTAATTATTGCACTGTGAAAGTATGGGGTAATCCTGTAACTGGGGTTAATGTATGGGGGGAAAAAGCCTGAAACATTTATTAACGGGACCCTTATGGAAGAGTGTGCTTACTTTAGAACAGAGCAGGGTGTTTACCTTAACATACTGTTTTGCTTTCAGAACATCCAGCAGGTCTCTAACTGGAGCTGAGAAGGTAAATTCTGCTGCAATTTCCAGGTCCTAAGGTCACAGTTACAAAGAAATTTCTTTAGGAAAAGAAAGACAAAAGAAAAACCAGGAAAAAGATAATAGCCTGACAGATACATAAACTTACTTTTCTCAACATTTTGGCAAATCCAAGTGCCTTTGAGGCTCTTTCCCTGGCTTCATGGAACAGCTCCTTGAGTGCTCGGCTGATCTCTATGACGGATCTCCTACCAGGAGATGGAAGCTCAGTCAGAAGGCACCAAACACAAAGAAAAGCAAATTCCAAAGCACTGTAGCAAAGACTATGGTGTTTTCAATGGGTTCGAGCAATTATTGAGAATGTATTAAAAATATTCAGAACTTGCTCCTCAGTTTTGTTTTGCTTTTTTGTGGGGGTGGGGGAAGGTTGTGGGGTGAGAAAATCAAAGCCAAGGCCTTACATATGGTAGACAAACACTCTACCACTAAGCCATATCCCCAGACTGCTCTTCACAGTAGATACATAAGTAGGGTACATTTAATAATTTTCAAGTAATGGTAATTTATAGACTCTATAAATATTTCATTGAAAAGTTTTTGATTTTATGATACATTATTGATACTCAGCTCATAATCTAATACACACACAGTGCAGTCTGATAAGTGCTAAACAATCAGCTTCCTCAAACATCGTCTCATAGTATGTGTGTCAATTTGTGTGGTATACGCCTCCCATCACAGCTGATCTCAACACAGCAGCTAAGACATCATGGAGAAGTTTGGAAGATGTGCATAGTACCCAGGATAAGCCAGCTTTCTCACTCCACTATACATAAAGTGCCTTTTAGATTCATCCCTATAAACAATTAGAGCATCATAAGGGTTATTCTCTAGTTCAGCATCTTAATTCTCGAATTATATTTATTTTGAAACTACAATGTTAGACTTTAAAACTATAAAAAAAAGCTGTGAACTGATTCACCCCATCTCTCTCAACTATTTGGTATTTTCTCAGATGAGAATCTATGTGGGAATTTCTTTCTTTAACCCAGACATAAGGACATCTCAAGTGTTCTGAATCCCAAACTTTGGATAGTATTTTTCATCAAATTTTGTTTCAGTAGTAACAGAAAACATTTTAGCTCTGGAGAAATCAGCTGCATCTAAGCATTTATGAAGGCCGAATCATATGAAATTACTGATACACAGCCACGACACAGCACTAGGTATACGCTGGTATCTATGGTATCCCACAAAAAAAGTAGCAATTTCAATTATTTAACCTAAATAGACTCTGTATAAAATTATAGAAATTAACAGATGAGTAAGCCATGGTTTTATATACTGAAACAAAAGGAATAAAGCATAATAATACAATAAAAATGTATCAAATGTTATTAAGAAGTATCAATGTACTGCTATAGAAGTTTTAAGAACAAAAACGTAACTTAATTACAGATGTTCCAGAAAATATGGATGGAGATAATTCTACTCATTTTGAGTCAACTTTATCCCTTTCTGTAAAAGTACTGTTTTTATTTTGCTAAATTCTAAGTTCACTTTCAGAGAAAATACATAAAATCATAACTAGATGGATAGTTATAGATATAGATCACATGAAAAGATGAGACAGTAATAAATAAGGCCCTGTTACAGTTATAGTGCCCAAATTCCTCCACTCTAATACAACTGGGTTTGAAAAAGGATGACTCTAGCTAGGCTCATTACTAAAAATAAAACTACATGTAATAAGAAATATAATAGGAAAGAAAGTGCAACTCCAACCGTATTTCATCAGAGGCACTGGTATCGTCAGCACTGGTCCAAAATTCAGCACAGCTCTCTTGTAAGCCAAATTCTAGAAAGCTTCCTGTAGATTTTAGCAGCATTCCTGCAATGTCACTAAGGAAACAAAAATAACAAAAATAAAATAGAAAAGAAAAATTGTACCAAAACTGAACATTTCAGCTTTTGCTACAATAGTTTAAAAGTTAGAATTTTCTTTTAATATAAAAATTAGGCTTAACATAAAAAAGTAGAAATCTATAACAGGTATATATCTTTGTTCTATTATTAACAGTATTTTATTGACCATAAAATCTTAAAACTTGAAAAGGCTATATGATAATTACACAAATATTACTTCCATCTTAAAAAAATATTCAAAATGGTATAGTAAAATATCTCAAATAATAGGAAAACAAAGCAAATTTTTTTCAATTTTAAAAAATTTCCGGCTGGGCACAGTAGCACATGCTTGTAATTCTAGCACTGGGGAGGCTGAGGCAGGAGGATCACCATGAGTTTGAGGCCAGCCTGGGCTACATAATGAGACCTTTTCTCAATAAATAAATAAATAAATAAATTTTAAAAAGAAAAAAGTTCCTTCAAAATTAGCTTTCTAGAGTCAATAAACACAAAATAATATAAAAGAAAAAGGGAAACTAAGTGAGCCTTGCAGAAATTCAACAACAGTATATTAACCTGGTCAGGTTCAAGGAAAGGCACTTACAACCTAGTAAACAAAACAGCAGTGCTAGATCTCCAGTCAGAGGAGAACGACCATACCCAACTAAAGGCAAAAGGTTTCCTGCCAGAAAGCCCTAGAGCAGCCCTTGTAGGCAAAAGCAGACTGTAAACAACAGAATAGTGGAAAGAAAGAACCTGTCAGGAAAAAAATAGAGAACAATACATATAATCGAGGAACAATACATATAATGTGTCACGCAAGGGCATGTTTGTTAGAAGTGAAACTGTCTAATCTGAAAAGATAAGGTGTTCACTGGGTGGCTAAGATCAGAAAAACAAACTGGGGCCATGCTGTGGGGACCTTGGGTGTCACACTAATTAGTTTGAACAAATTTGGGAGTCAAAGTGAGTGAGATTTAAAATACTATAAGTAGGAAAGGGATGTGATTAGAAACATGCTTTTAAGAAGAGTATCATTTAAAAAAAGAAGAATATGATATAAGGATATCCAGGGTGGATGTATTCACTGTGCTACATACATCCAGTATACTGGAAGTGGTAGTGAACAAAACAGAGAAAAGTCCTTCAGTGGGTGGAGATAAAGAAGAAATAAAATTTTTAAAACTACTTCGGATAATCAGTGCTCTGGAAGGTGAAAAGCTAAAGTGTGGGTGGGTAGGAAATTCAATTTTAAATATGGTGAGAATACAACATTTAGACAAAGACCTGATGGAAGTGGGGAAATGAGTCATGAAAATAACTGTGTCCAGCTGAGGAATTAGCAAACGCACAGGGCCCACGGCAGAAGCACTCCTAGATTGTAGAACAGAAGGACAGAAAAGCACTGTCCAACAGGCACAGCAGATCTGAGCAGGAAATGAAGAAAAGACTTAATGAGAGGTCACACTGTGTCCAGCCTCAACAGCCACCGCTTAGACACTGTCACTAATAGGCTCATGGAAGACTCAGAAAAGAGGGCTGAAAGTCCCATTTAATAACTCTGGCTCTTGAACTGAGAATAAACTACAGGAAATTACGGATCATAGAAGCAGGACTGTTTATATCCAAAATACTAAAGCTTGACTCATCTCTCACCATGAATTAGACTAAAAATCAAAATGGATCAAACATCTATTTAAACATTAAAACAGAAACAATCTACTGGAAGACAAAATAGGTAAAACATTTGAAGTTGAAGGAATAGGCAAGGACTTTCTGAACAGAACTCCAATTATATAAGAAATACAGTAACGGCAAGAGTCTCTAATGAGATTATATCAAACTAACGAGCTCCTGCACAGCAAAGGAAACAATCAATGAAGAGAAAATCTACAAAAGGGGAAAAAAATTTGCAAGCAATTCCTCGGAGGAATATCTAGAATACAAAAACTCAAAAGAAAAATTTATCACCCAAAATAAGAGACCTGATCAAGAAATGGACAAGCAAATACTTATCAGAAGTAGTTCAAATGGCCAATAAACATATGAAAATGTTCGATTTCTCTGGCCATTAGAGAAATGCAAATTAAAACAACTCAGATTTCACTTTATTGCAGAAAGAATGACAATCATCAAGAAATTCAATAACAAATGCTGGTGAGGCTGTACTGAAAGGGAAATCTATTACATTGTGTAAACTAGCACGACCATTATGGAAATCAATAAGGAGATTTCTCAAAAATCTAAAAATAAAAATTCCAAATTACAGCAGTACAGTATTACAGCAGTATATTCATATCAATGTTTATAGAAGCATACTTTATAATAGCTAAATTCTGGAAGCAGTTTATATGTCCATCAAGAGATGAATGGATAAAGAAAAGGTACTATTTATAAATAATGGAATACTAAGCTATAAAGAAAGATAAATGTAGACAATTGTAGGAAAAGTGGATACACCTGGAAAATATAATGCTAAGTGAAATAAATCAGACACCCAAGCTTAAATATAGTGTGACAGCTCTTGTATGAGTAAGGCAAAGTACAAATAAAGAACAAAATAAAGGATAGAAAGAAACAGGGACATAGACCTTTTGTAAACAGGAGGCCCTGTCTCAAAACTCCAAAGTAAATACCTAAATAGGGAGAGTGATGCTGAAAATGGGAACGAAGCTGACTAGGAAAGGAAGGTGAGTCAGACTGGGGATGACAGCCTGAAGATCTGGGAGTCAAGAAACAAGAGCAAGTTCGCTGCTCACTCAAAACAAAGACAGGATGGATGAAAAGAAAAACAGATACAAGACACCCAGACACCAGGCAGACAGAGTGGGACAGGGAGAGCTGCTCGAGTCCAAAGAGTATCTAACATGGAAGCCAGAGTCCCAGACACAGCAAGGGGAAGGAAAGAGCATGTGAGCTGGGTACGGGGGCACTTAGAAAAACAGGACAGGAATGCTACTTGATTTTTGAGTGTTAATTTTGTATCCAGCTATACTACTGAATTTGGTTATTAAATTAGTAAGTCTTTTGGTAGAGTTTCTGGCATCTTCTAATTAGAATGTCATGTTATGCGTAAATAATGGTAATTTAACTTCTTCTTTTCCTAATTCTATTCTTTCTGTTTCTTTGTCTTATCTAATTGCTCCGGTCATGTTTCCAGAACTATACTGAACAGGAGTGGTGTTAGTGGACCTTCTTGTCTTGTTCCTGATTTTAGAGTGAAAGCTTTCAATTTTTGAACATTTAGTATGATGCCAGCTGCAAAAATGTATATCTGAGATGAATACATGGTTCTAAGATAAAGAAATACAAATGCAAATAAATATATGAAAAAATGCTCAACATCACTGGTTATTAGACAGATGCAAATTAAAACAACACTGAGATTCCTCTTCACTCTAGAAAGAATAGCTATCGTTAAGAAGTTATTCTAAAACAAATGCTGGAGGGGATGTGGGGAAAAAGGAACTCTTCTCCACTTTTGGTAGGAGCATGGAATCATGCAATCACTATAGAAATCAGTATGGAGATTCCTCAAAAAATTAGGATTACAGGTTTCATTTGACCCAGCTATTCTCCTTCCGGGTATCTTCCCAAAAGAATTAAAAACATCATACCACAGATAAATACACATACCCATGCACAGTTCATAATAGCTAAACCTTGGAAATAATCCAAATGCTCATCAACTGAGGAATGAATAAAGAAGATGTGGGTTTTTATATATAATTAAATACTACTCTGCCATAAAGAAGGGTAAATTTGAGGCATTTCTAGGTAAATGGATGCAACTTAATACCACAGTCTAAGTGAAATAAACTGGACTCACTTTTGTAAACATCACTGTCTCCCTGGTGTGAGAAACTGAAAGAATAAATATGTACCAAAATATAACAAAAGATACTGGGAAATCAGAAGAAATTGTTCAAAAGGAAAGAACTAGGGTGAGAAAGGAGGGAAAGGAGGGAAGGGACAAGAAAAAAAGTGATTTGAGAAAAGGATAAAATGGAAACAATGCTTTGTAAATAGGTAGAGGAGGAGGGGTTTGAAGGGAAGACGGGATTGTGGGGAAAAAAAGGAATCAAAATATATCAAATATAGGTACAAATTCCCTATAATGAGTATGATCACTTTGTTTATCTAAAAATTTACCAATAAACTTTAAAAAAAAGAGAGAGAGAAACAGACACAAAAGAAATACAGCAGTGGAGGACACAAGTGGGAGACTTTAGCACCTATGAACAGCAGCAGGGCCCAGTGCTCTCCCCAAGTCACAGCGGTCACCAGAAGAGCCCTCTGAACTGGCCCTGAGCGCAACAGCCTGGGCCTGACTCAAGAAAGACACTCATTTTCTAGAAAACAGTCTGTCTAGTGACTGCACACCCTCCATAAGAGCACCTCAGTTTCCATTCCTAGCCTTTTCCTGTATGGAAACCAGTTCATAAAGAGAGGCTGTGACTGGATGATACTCTCCAAACACTCATTGAAAATTATACTTAGGCTCACAATGTCACCACCAAGACTGAAACACACAGGTCTATTCTACACTCACAGATTTCAATTCTCCTTTTTTTATTAAAAATAACAACAACAAAACAAAATCAAAAAGGTTTACTCTTAAGCTCAAGGCTGACATTTCGGGTGGATAATTCTCTGCTGTGCACTGCAGGATGTGCAGCAGCAGCCCTGGTCCCTGCCCACTAGGTACCAGCAGCATCTCTCCATGGTAACAATATCTGCAGATATTGCCCAATGCCTCTGAGGGGGGCCAAATCAGCCCAGGTTGAGAACCACTGCTCAAACCTTGGAAGAGGGGCACCTCACAGTCACAAGTGACTCTAATTTTCATGTGAATGAACATCCAAATGTGCAAAACAGGATCAATGGGCAAACCAGGAAGACAGTGAGAAAAGAAGGAAGCCATGTACCAAAGCATAAGATTTTTTACCAGAAAAGCTTTCCAGCCTGTGCCTCTCCTCCTCGAATATAATGAGTTATTTCTTTGGTGAAATTCCACTCCTCTTCTAACAGATTTTTTAAACTATGGGATGCTTGAGGTAATTGCTGTAGCATTTGGATCCAGCTTCGCATGTAATCAAAATATACCTTAAAATACAAAAGCAAATATTTGAGAGTCGAATTCATTAACTCATCACTTTATCTCTTAACAAAAGCTATAAATTTGAAGGGCAAAACCATGAAAGCATGCAATACAGAGAAGTTAAGATTGTTCACCACCATCAGCAAGGATTAAACACCCTGCAAACTTATTTAGCAATTTAGTATTCACAACTCTTCAAATTTTATGCAAATAAAACATTCACAATGTACAGAAAAACAGAATAATGTAATAAAAAGTTTTAGAAATGTTCATTATGAACACATTGTAAATGGTTCTTTAAAAAGTTAGTATTTTGCCTACTTATTTGGGCTGGAAAGAATTATGAATTGCAGGGAGGAACTGGTACACTTTGCACCATCCCTTCCTGACATTCAGATTTTTGTGATGTAAGTGTTTCAAGGCTATCACATAAAAATCATGATCTATAATCACACTATCCAGTTGTTTGGGGAGGGGGGTCCAATGCTCACCCCAAATCCTACAGGGACAGTTTTCTCACATCTAAATTCTCATCTTATCTGTTGGCTAGGAGGTTTTACTAGCAGTTTGTCCCAAGACGGACTCACTGAGGCTGTAACAAAATGTCCTCATCTATGGATTTTCTGACCTAAAGAGTAACTGACTGGGTAAAAAATATTTGTATCACACAATCTCTCCCTCAGAACTGTGCAGACAGAACTTTACTACCTTCTAAAACAAAGTGTGATGTTACTATAGAGACGGAATTTTCTTCTTTGCTTTTTTTCCACTGGGTTTCAAGAGAAGAATGTGTACAAAATGTGATCTGATTGCCTATCTAAAAGCAACTCTGCCCTTCTTTCTTAACAGAAATATAGATTTTAGTGGGATTCTTTTCAGTCCTCAAACATGTTACTGTCCTGATCCTCCTAGCACACTAGAGAACACAATTTAAACCACTGAAAATTGTCAGTTTCTTTAGCTATAAAAGTATTCATTCTGATTCATACACACCAAAAAACTGCAAGGCCAAAAGGAAACTCTACACTTTCCTAAGACAGATTAGCTATGAATGCAGGTAATTCTCTCACTCTAGGCCTTTCACCAGACAGACACACTAAGAGCGTGGAAACCACATTTGGGGACAATGTATGTTCTTTGCTTCTTATCTCTCACCTCCCCTTTTTCCCACTAAAGGACAAAAGACACTGGGTATGCCTTTGTAAGTTATTCTGCAAAGAACTTGCTTTTGTTTTATTTTGGTTGTATTGGGGATTGAACCCAAGGCCTGCACACTAAGCTATATCCACAGTCCCTTTTTAATTTTTTTTTATTTTGAGATAGGCACTTGCTAAGTCACCCAGGCTGAGTTTGCAACTTTGAACTCTTATGCCTCAGCTTTCCAGAGTGCTGAGATACAAGTGTGCTATTATCCATAATTATCCACAGAAGGAGAAAAAATTTGTATGGTGTTGCATTTTACCATATCTTTTCAATAATAAAGACTTTTCTGGAAAAGTGTTTTAAAATGCAGTCATTTTATGTATTGTTTTTTATGTAATAAAATTATTTCTCAGGACATGCCAGATAGTGCAACTTCCATTCCTCACCACTTTCTTCCTTTACTATTCCATATTATGTGGTCATCTACATATTTACCCTAATGAATCTAACATGCACATATTATATATTAATATTCTACTACAGAATATGGAAGATGAAAGAATTTCAGGTAGTAGCCCCTTATTCAAGGAGCTTTTGGTCTAACTAGAGAACCCTGAGATAAGTCTCTGTTTGAATGTTATAGGTACAATACAGTTCTAACTGCAACTGCTAGCACTGTTCAAAGAAGAAGGTAGGGATAAATGTAGGCTTAAAAGTTGAAACTGTTAGATAAGCTTACATGAAAGTAAGCCCTCAGTGGGCAGATAAGGATGAAGAGGGTCATTTCTAGCAGGAAAGAACACAAATACTAGCCCAGAGGTTAAAATCACAGCACAACACACATGAGAGGACATGGGCTCATTGGAAGAAATAAAAACAAGACTATTACTCTCGCCACATCAAACAATTTAGAAACCCTCAAATGTGCCGGGTTTTTCCAGGAGCCTTTGGCTCACCTCTGAGATAGGGCTTCCTCATAGTGAGAACCCTCTGAAAGTCCCTAAGCTAGGGGAAGGGTCCCATCTCAGCCTGCTTTTTTCTAGCCATGGGTGGACATGTGGAGTTTCACGAAAGCATCTTCCACAGCCAATCCTAACCAAACCATTTCTTGTTCTTCTTTGCTATTTCCAGAGCTATGCAAGTCCTTGGCCTCTTTCCTGGAAATTAAAAACTGGCTATTGACAGTTAAATAAAACAGTCATATTCTGATTCTCTTTCTGGGCCTTAATCAACTGTCCTAAATTAAATAATAAATTCAAGACTTGTCAAAAATGCTAACTCAAAAACCACTCAAGAATTTGTTTAAAAGGCAGACTTAGAAAAAAAAAAACAAATGGACCCTACCACCAGATAGACAGACTCAAGTCAAACGCTGCCACACTCACACAGGTATACACACACAAGAAATGTCTCTCTCCCTTACCATCAACATCTTATGCAGATCCTCTTCGAACGCATCGATGTTGCAGTCAGTCTTCTCCAAGTCCTCTAGAACCTCCTGCAGCATAAACTGATAGTACTGCTTCATCAAAAGGCCACCCTTCAGGACTTCTTTACACTCTCTCACCAGCTACAAAACACGAGGCACAAGCTCTGTTGTTCACGTGCCCTGTCCAGATGTGCTGTCAGTTCTCACATATCCCCACTTACATTCCCTAAATAACCCAGAAGGAAGCACTTCGCCTCTGAAAAAAAATCAGTTTATTTTACAGAAATATCTGTGGTCTCAACTGAGCAAAAACAGAGGAATGAAAATAAAGAAAGTTTGTATTACAGCACAGACATACACTGAGATAAAACTCCATAGACAGCTGATACTGTGCTAAAGATACAGTCCCCTACACGTAAGTTTATATTAAAAATAAACTCCACGGAATAAGATCAATTTTTCTACTAACTTACACTGTAAAACAACAGATACAAGAGAAAAATCTCCTAGTGAAACTGGTAAATTTTACTCATAACATAATAAAATTCAAATGTATTAACATACCAGAGTATGGTAGCCTTTGAGATAATTTAGCATAGTCTACTTACTATGACCAGTGACTTCTACCATCAAAAAAGTCAATTGCAAAAGCAAGCAAACCAATCCTAAATTTATCTAATGAACACAGATGGAAGTTAACAGAAATTAAATAACCTGATAAACTTCTACTTCTGAAGAATCTGTTTTATGAGGAAGGGTTAATTATTTTACCAGAAGTTTCCAGATCACTGTAGCAATACAGAAGACAGACGTAAAAGTCTTGCCAAAGTAGACAGTAAGACAGTGACCAGCACAAGATGGAGAGAAGCACGTGAATACTGAGCTCTGGCTGGTGCCAGATGGAGGGGCCCACTTCGAACTCACCTCCACTCCACATTCTATGCTGCACCTACCTAAACAAATAAGCACAAATCTCGATCTGTACTTGTTGTGTGACCTGATTGACCTGTCTTCTCTCAATCTGTACTGCTCAGTCTTTTTTTTTTTTTAATTTTATTTAAGGAGAAAAAAGAAAAAAAAAAAAAACAGAAAAAGGGTACAAGTTATATAGAATTTCAGAAAAAATAAACAGTAGGAAATCACTAGTTAATTACATATTGTCATCTTAGAAATAGTTGTTCAAGTTACAAAATTAAAGCATATAGAGGGGACTTTCAAACAGTGAGACTGCAAACATTTTGTTCAATGATCCAACAAAACTCAGTAATATGGTTATCTATCTTATACACTTAAATATATATGCAGTTATATCTTTTAGAGAATTTTCTTTTCCTTTCTTTTGTACAATGACAATTACACATTTTGGGTTTTATTGCTCCCACAGTTCTTATTACTTTTTTTTTGAAGAAAGTAAAACCAAATGTGACATACCAGGACAGAGTCATTCAAATCAAAAGTGTACTGCTCAGTCTTATCATTCCAGAGTCCATGTAGCATCTACCCTTTCATCACTAGGACAGTAGTAGCCAACCTATGGCACTCATGCCACAGTTAGCTGCCTGTCATCACTGATACCTGTGAAAGGTTTGCCATCACTGCATTAGAAGATGGATATGACAGTCTTCAAAAAAGACATCACTCTTTTTGTAATCAAGACCTCAAAAATTTTACTTTATATAATGAATGTGGAGAAGTTAAAACCACAAAGCATAAATTGATACTTTTTAGTATTCACTCTACTCAATAAAACTGCTCTCAGCCATTCTTCTACATGCTTTTGAATACAATGTAAGAAAAATCTCACCTAATACTAACTAGGAAATCAATCATCTTTACTGTTTAAATAATTGCTTAAGCAAGCAAAAACTCCAAACTCTAAAAAAGACATTACTCTATATAACTTAAATACAACACCACCAAAAAAAGATCACTCTACAGAACAAATTTTGTGGTTGGGTGTGGTGGTACACGCCTGTGATCCCAGCATTCAAGAGCTTTCAGCAGGAGGACTGCTGCGAGCTTGAGTCAGCATGGGCTACAAAGCATATCCGGGGCCAGCCTGAACTGCAGAGTGAAATCCTGTCTCAAAAAGACAGAAACAAATTTTTGTTTCTAATCTTCAAAGATAGAAACAAAGGAGGCAAGGGTCACATCATCCACCCATTTTTATACTCTTCTGGAACAAGGAAGCAGTGGTAGAAAAGGTGAACCGTAAGGCAAGAATATTTTATATCATTCTAAAAAGAGCAGCTTAAAGACAATACATTTTCTTTTTTTTACTGTTTGCAGTAATTATAGAAAACAATCCTCAAAAAGGATAAGCCTCGAGACAAATGTACTAACTGCTGAAAATGTAAACAGTCTTTGAAACCAACCTGCTTGATACTCAGGAGAGACGGCTCCCCAGCGGGTCTCTGCTCCAATCGCAGTTTCAGGCACTCGTGTATAACGTTCAGCAGCACTCGGCAAAGCACTAGGAAGGCAGGTTCGAATGAAGGCAAGTCCATGGCCTTCAGCTCCTCCCAGGACACAGAACTACATTTCTGTTCAGAGGAAGGTGGTGTCCTTGACAACTGCACATAATCTGACCCCCACATGGGATCTGGAAATTCAGAAAACTGACAAAAATTCAAGACAGAAATTTTAAGAGAATACAAGAACAATGCCCTAAGGTTTTTGGTTCTAAACTACAACTTCCTGACAAACCAACAACGTCTATTTTAAAGGCCTAAAAATCTTTAATAATTCAACATTTTCAACACAGACCCAAAAAGCTTAAGAGTACTTGAAAATCGTAACAAGAATAGAGACCTAATTGAAATAACACTTATCAAACCAGTAGTGAAATTATCAAGCTCAGTTTTAACATTCTGCATCATACTTAAAAGGATCACAACACTTCATTTTTAAGGTTACATACATTATTATTCACAACCATTTTTGGACTAAGGAACCAGAAAATTAATATAATTTGAGGAAAGAGTACAAAATCAGGAATTAATTCTTCCTAGGTAGCCATTATGTGAAGATAAAAACTAGGGAGTTCAACTAATTCTATTTGTTCTCATACTTAAGAATGCTGATAGGTATGGGAGCCTAGGATCAACCCATTCTATCTGTTGTTTGATGTTTCCTGGGCTCATACTTGGGAGTTTTTACACTGTTCTTAAACATCCAGCCACATTATATACTGACCTATCAAATTCAAAGACATTACATGTTCCTATTAAGAAAACCAAACTCATCTAAATTTGAAAACCTTGAATTCAACATTTCGCAGTTGTAGTTATTCTGCTCCCAGTATGACACTGATACCTGTCCTCCGTGTCATTTAGTGAGTTTTTTGACTGGTCTCCTCCTATTCACATCTTGACCTTTAATTTGACAAATGAACCAGAATTACCACCTCAAAGCAAAACTCTGAAGTGATTAGAACACTCTTGGAGGATCCACCCAAATAATACCTAATGTGAAGGTGCATGGTATTTACATAGCAGTCAGTCTGTGTCTACCACATGAACATCCTGCAGGCTCTTTCAAGCCTCTATCTACCTATTCAAAAAATACGGCCCAGAGAAGTTAGTCTGCCATCTCAGCCTGCCCAGTCCAGTCTGCACGCTCCTGGGTGGCCTTACCTCTCCCCTGCCCTCCCTCACAGGATTTCTATAACCCTCATGTGTACGTGTACGCACCACACCTGACCCTTGCTGTGGTCTCCTCTCATTTCCCCACCTCAAAACCCTTAGTGTGCAAAATTCACCTTTTGCTACCTTTCAGATGACTTTCATCACACACACACACACACACACACACACACACACACACACACCCAAGATGCCAACTAAAAACACTGCACTCTGAGTTTACTTTAGTTTTCTTTATAGAGAGTGTGTAATTAAATAAGAGAAAAAATAAAGGTCCAAAGAACAGAAAATCTGGCTTTGGGTAATTTAATTAGCTATGTGATTCTGGAAGCACTAGTCTTAGACTTGGTTTCTTTATTTTAAAAATAGAGGTGGGCCAGGGATTGTCACTCAATAGTGGAGTGCTTGCAAAGCATGTTTTAAGTCCCTGGGTTCAATTCCTAGTACTGAAAAAATAGTCGTTACCTTACCTTGTAAAGATTAAACAGAACATACCTAGTGAGAAAAGGTGCTTTTATAAATTGACTGCATGTAGCACTTGTAAAATTACTACTGTTAACATGCTCTCCCTCCCACCACACCACTGTTGCTTTAGAGCAAATTCAGGTAACAACTAATGTCAGACTTGGTCAACAATCACATCCAGAACTTTCAGTCAGCTCAATACCTGAACTGCAAAAGAGCCTTGACTTAAAACCAGGACTGTGTCCATGTCTATGACCTTCTTTGGGATGGCTCCCTGTCTTCCTTAGAGACATGTATAATGTAGCTCTCACAATGTCTGTCATCTCACTTCTCCTGCTGCACACACTTGTCAGCTCTCCTCAGTTCTCCATCTACTTACACTTACACCACCTTCATTCACTCTCTTTTCAAACTTGTTGCTTGATTCCACTGTTTCAGCCCACTGACCTTGTGACACCCCTCAGTGTGATTCTGTTTAAGGCTTATTCTACCCCTTCTAATTTGTGCTACAGCTTCACTGTCACCACTAACAACCAGGGCCTCTTATTCAGCCCAGTGGTCTGTCTACACAGAGATCTTGATCCTTATCTAATATTGCCTTCTCCCCCTCCATTTCACAAAAACTCCTTAAAGTTTCCTAAGTTCAGCGAACATATCTGCCTTTCTGCACAAATTCACACCTTTAATCATCAGAGCATGTGATTTACTGACAGTGCACTGTCTCTGATGAACTCTTATTCTCATTAGACAAAAGAATTCAAATGCTGACCTCACCTATCAAGTTTTCTTTGCCTCAAATAACATATTTTCTTACAGTATGAGAGCCTTACAGGTACTTCGCTGTTTGTGTTTATCGTTTTCTCTATAATGTGTTATTTTTTAAATTTTTTTTTTGTCTTTTTCCTTTTTATCAGTACCAGGGATCGAACTCACGACTGCCCGCTTGCAAGGCAGGCGCTTATGCCGCTGAGCTAAATCCCCAGCCCCTAATGTGTTATTTTTATCTATATGATTTTCCCCACAGTCATCAGTTCCAAAAACATGAAGAATGTCTCTTACCCGAGACTTCAACACTTAGTTCAGTATCTGCTATGTAATACATGCTGAGCTACACTCCCACTAAAGAATCGATGTCTCTTCTCCAATTTTTCCAACACTCTACATTAAGAATGAAACATCTAACCAGCCTGACCTATTAATAGCTCCTAGTCCTCAGAGTTGTCCATATACTCCTTAATGACAACAGCAACTACTGTAGTGATAAGCTGACATGGTCTGCAGTTTGAAAAGTGGGTGCTTTGATTAAAAAAAAAATTATATACTTAGTATAACTGAGACACATTTATTTATAAAAACAAGGATTATGTTTTCTTCCTAGTATAAAATTCCCAGTAACATCATCTGCTTGAAAAGATTTCCCCTGCTTCTTAAACTGAAAATATTTAATCTACAGTAATATACAGTCTGGCATTAAACAAATAAACATTAACATGGGGAATATACTGAGTGCTTCCATCTAGTAATTTGCAACAGCACTAAGGAGAACAAGATTAATTTATCTTTTTATGTTTGTCATGTTTCAGAATTTCAATTAATATATACTACTATCCTTGGGTTTCCCTAAAAGGGCAAGAATTTCTAAACTAGCCACATAATTTATGTTTTGGTTTGGTTTTTGTTTGTCGAGATAGGTTCTCCCTAGGTAGTTCAGACTGACCTTGAACTCACTATGTAGCCTAGGCTGGCCTCAAACTCAAAGCAATCTTCTTGCCTCAGCAAGAAGTGCTAGGATTATAGGTGAGAGCCACCATGCCTGGCAGAAGCCATATAATTTAAAAATCTACTACTTGTGATAAATGTGATCAGGATTAATACATTTTTAAAAAAGCTTTAGGTACTTTATTTTGCTTTTTGTGGTATAATGACATCAGAAAAAAATGTTAAAGCTCCACAGAATTCAGCAAATCTATATGTATTAATTGCCATTTGTGTGGCAGTCTGCCCACATTTGCTGCATAAACATCCTGCAGAATGGATGGAGCCTTCACCTGCCCATCCACAAACATGGCCTAGATTAGCCTGCCATCCCAGCCCTCCCCAATCCAGCCTACACCACAGTGATGACCGACCATCTTACAGTGAAGAGCTCAACATCTCACAGTGAAGAGCTCAAAGAACAGTTCGTTTACCTTCTCTAAAAACTACATAAGGAATTACAAGAGTCAAAAGAAAAGTGGATTGGAATACAAATCACACGATGGGAAGAAAAATACTAATGAAAATGATAAGCTATAAAACTTAGCAAAATTTACACAGGCTAAAATAACTGTAAGATGAGTAAGTTAGTTATGGACCAAAAATTCTATAATGAAGTATTTACATTTTTTACAAGTATACTACAAGAGAAAAATCTGAATCATCTATTCCAAATCTTATCTAACAACACCAGACTGGGGAAAGGGGAAACGTGGTACAGCAATGGCATACCTGCTATTATTTTAGTGCAGTGAGAAATACAAGGTTAATATGGTGGGAAAACCTCAGATCAATCCAGTCAAACCATTGGTGCTTAATAATATAAGGTCAATAATAAAAATCCGATGTAACCACATCATAATCCCAAAGTCATTTTGTATGTTCTTGGCAAATCCATAATAAAATTCTGATGAAAGAAAGTGATGTACAAAAATTAAAATGGCCCAAAAACTTTTGAAAAGAATAAATGGGAAGAACTTCCCTGCAAGATGCCAACCTCATTAATAACCTTACCTTATTTAAAATACTAAAGTTTTGGCATAGTAAACAGATCAAAAGAATAGAAACATATTCAATTATCTCTGATAATTTAATTTAAAAAGGGAGGCAGCAAGTTAAATTGAAAGATAATGAATTATCTAAAGAACTTAAACTGAAAAATAGTGAATTATCCAAAGAATGTTACAGGTAAACACATTTTACATTATATGCCGATTTTAGAAATTCTTGCCTACAAGGAATCATATTTTACATTATATATCTACTTAAAAACTCATACCTATTAAAGGAAATCAAGTATGCATTGAGCATATATATTTTCAAGAGATTTCAAATGTATTAAACCTAAACAAAGAGCAATACACTAGGCTAAACACATAAAATTGCCATTTTAGTCAGCTGAAAATGATCAAATGTTGGCAACTTAGTATAGGTCAATCTAATAAAAAGAGTTCTGGGAAGACAGTCTCCCTTATGCCTCATAAAACACAGAGCAACTAGCACAGCAAAACCAGCACTCTTGGAGACACATCTACAGAACATTAGGTGGCAAGGGATATTCACAAATCCAAAAAGCAGAGGGGAAACAGTGAACAGTTCCATAACCAACACAGAACAGCAGTGTGCAGGGGAAGCCCAGGAATTTATAGGCTGTCTTACCTGTGTGGAAAGGGATAACTCTCAAAATCATCAATACATATTGAAAAGAAAGCTCACTGCATTTACTTGAGAACATCAGTGAGACTGGGAGTGGT